GCAAAATCAAATGTTTTTTCTCTTTCCAATTTTAATACTTGCCTTAAATAAATGAAAAAAAAGAAGAAATAAATAAAATGCACCAACTAATTAAATAAATCACCTTTTTATTAGGTCCGTTAAAGACTTACATTGACCATTTCCTCATGATAAATAAACACACAGACCCTTTTTTTAATGGAAACTTCCCATAGATGTGTACATTTTCAAAATACTTATTTTAATATGATTTATGAGTCATGTTCCTCATGGGGACAAATTGGGAAAACACTCGAACACACACACACACACATTGGTGAACACTTTTCACATGTTACATATTGATAACATAACATGTCGTCTAATCTGGATTCAAATAAAACATATTCAAAGAAAAGCAAGAAAATATGTAGTTAAAATGCAATAGAAGCAATAAAATATATTTGCTGTTTAACAGAGCAAGGAGATTTTCACAGTACTTCCTATGGTTTTAATTAATTAATTTGTTTTATTTATTCATTTTTTTTTTTCTGAATGATGTCCCATTTCCTTTAGTTTGGCTCTGATAAAAGCAGTTTCACACACACACACACACAAAAAAAAAAAAAAATAATAATAATAATAATAATAATAAAATAAATGTTCTGTAGATTATAGAGAAAAAAATATAGCTTAAAGGGGCTAATAATTTTGTCCCTAAAATGGTGTTTAAAAATAAAAACCAATATTGGCCAATATTATAAACGCCCTTAAAATAGTTTTTTTTTTTTTTTTTTTTTCCTGATTGTCTGCAGAACACACCACTGTTATCCAAACTAACTGACCTTGATTAGTTACTGGTTAAGCCTTTAAATTGCACTTTTAGTGGTATACTATTAATTTATTCATTCATTCATTTTCTTTTCAGCTTAGTCCCTTTATTAATCTGGGGTTGCCACAGCGGAATGAACCGCCAACTTATCCAGCACGTGTTTACGCAGCCGATGCCCTTCCAGTGGTATACTATCTTGCAAAATTACTAGAAATATAATATGTACTGTCATCATGGCGAAGACAAAAACATTTAGTTATTATAAACTAGCTATTAAAACTATTGATTAAAAATTGTATTTTCATCTCCATTAATCTGCACTTATATTTAAAAGAATTAAAGCTTGACTTGGAAAAAAAATAATAATTTAATTGCATTTAATTATAACGTGTTAAATCGATTTTCTGTTTTCTCAGAATTTGCAATGAAACTCTAAACTCTGCATTAACAGTTCAGCTAAAAACCAAACCACAGCATGTGTATTTTTTTTATGCAAGCTAAAAAAATAAAAAAAGAGACTATCCACATCTCATTTCCTCTTCTTTTTACTTCTTCACTTTTACTTCTACTGATTTTTTTAATCTCCCTCATGCAAAAATTGACATGCATCTCACATTATTAGAGGAATTTGCTCCATAGTTTGCAACTCCATATAAATAAACCAATTCAGAAGCAAATTTGCATTTAAAAGAGATGGATAAAACAAACCCCGGATCTACTATCTATGCTGATGATCATAAAGCATCAGTGGTACATATTTAACTGCATATTTCCTGAAGATGTGTGTTAGAGAAAAAGAGAGAGAGAGATAAATGGAGATGGAGTTTACTTGCAAATTCTGTGTAATCCAGGGATTAGCCTCTGCTGGCAGCCTCCTATGTCCTATTTCTATTCCCTCAAAACGATTTCAAATATTAATAATCATAATCTCCTGCATTGGTAACAAAAATATCAAACTAGGCCGCAGTGAAATAGCAAGTCTTCGTAGAAGACAATGTAATAAAGCAAACAACAGTACTTATTTATTACAGTAAAGGTTTGTTTATTGCTCAAACACGGTTTAAGCAACAAGGAGCAGGTGTACTTGTGAACTGAAATCCTGTTTCATTTGCACAAGAAGGATTGATTCTCAATGTTCAATAAGAGAGCATTAAACAATTGCTGCTCAAAAATGCAAGACTGAAAGCATTAAGCACTACAATGTATTATAAAATATGAATACAGCGCCAACAACAAACGGATACACCCTTTATAACGGATATGGATAACAATCAAATGTTTTTTTCTTTTCAATTTTAATACTTGCACCAAACAAAAGGAAAAAAAGAAAGAAATAAAAGGCACCCACTAATTCAATAAATCACATTATGTCCGTTAAAGACTTACAAGGACTATTTCCTCATGATAAATCCAAAACACTTTTCACATGTTACATATTAATAACATGTCAATCTAATCTGGATTTATCTGAAAAAAAAGTTAAAGAAAAAGAAAAGACAATCACCAGTCCTGCTTAAACTAATACTTTCTTTGGGAAGTTATGCAATGAGTTATTTGTGCCAGTCTGGTTTATTGATTTTATATTAAATGTATTAATATTATAGCCAAAACTGAAACCTATTTAACCAAATACAACCCATCATGTTAGAAAAATAAGTCGGTTAAACCAGAAAAAAACACTAAGGAGAACATTCAAAATATTAAATTTGGTTAAATTTTTGGACATTGTAATTTAAATTAATTCATTCATTTTCATTCATTTTCTTTTTAGCTTAGTTCCTTTATTAATCTGGGGTCGCCACAGCGGAATGAACCACCAACTATTCCAGCATATGTTTTTATGCAGCGGATGCCCTTCCAGCTGCAACCCATCTCTGGGAAACATTCATACACATTCATTCACACACATACTCTTCAGACAGTTTAGCCTACCCAATTCACCTGTACCACATGACTTTGGACTGTGGGGGAAACCAAAGCACCCAGAGGAAACCCACTCGAATGCAGGGAGAACATGCAAACTCCACACAGAAACGCCAACTGACCCAGCTGAGGCTCGAACCAGCAACCTTCTCGGTGTGAGGCGACAACACTACCTACTGCGCCACTGCGCCTGTCTAATTTAAATTTATATGTATTATTTTTCTTCTACTAAAAATGTTAGGTGATTACAGCCTCAACTGTGCACCTAAAATAAATAATAAACATAATAATAATGTTCACTAATAGTGTGTCAGTAATTAGTTCCCACTATACAGCAAGAAGGAATTGAATAAACTAAATTGGCCGTAGTGTATGTGTTTGATAAGTCTGTATGGATGTTTTCCAGTACTGGGCTGCAGCTGGATGGGCATCCACTGTGTAAAAACATATGCTGGATAAATTGGTGGTTCATTCCGCTGTGGCGACCCCAGATGAATTGCTAAGCCGAAGCAAAATGAATGAATGAATGTGCACTGAAAAATGCATCAAATAAATATTTAAAGGGGGGTGTACTTAATTATGCTTTTTTATTTAAATACTAAAACGAGTGTCATGCTTTCAGACATGTTTAAATTCATTTTACACAATCTCAATACCAATGTGAGTTTAAATAAATAAATAAAAGATATTAGTTAGAATAACTCTGATTTTAAACCATGCAATATCTGTTAGCTAGAGGTTAAATTTAACCTTTTATGCATATGTACATTTACATGACAGAAATGTCAGGAGAACATGCCTGGGGATGTGTGGAAGCATTATGGACACCAGATGGAGTGGTAGGATAGTATGTGTGCTATCATCAAGGGTGGGGCTCTGGCTAGAAGTGTGTGTGAGCATGTGTGTGTGAGAAAGAGAGAGAGAAGGGACAGAGAGGGGGGATTGTTTACCTTTATATATGTCAAAATGTGAAAATCTGATGAGTTAAAAACACAAAGAATGAGCTTGATGTGCTCATTTATCTGAGAAATAGTGTCTTTAAAAAATAAGTGCATGTAGGTTATCTATGTTAGTGTAAATGTGAGAGTGGGTGTGGTCAGTATAGTGACCTGAATGTGTGAGAATGCCAGTGTCATTCACTTTAATCTACCTCAATAAAGCACGTTGGTATTTTAGTCATTATTATTAATCACATTATTTAAATGTATGATTGTAATTATTATAAACAGTTATAATCCACATGATATGTAATAGTCCAAATGGCTTTACCATAAACTGCAATTTAACATTACACCATCTCAAATCTCACACATGCACAGAAAACAGTTCTTCCGCATTGCAAAATAACGTGGATATACTATACGCACACACATATACATATATATTAAATGAGCTTCAGAAACAAGGAGAGGAGAAAGGGGGAGGGGTGATGCTGTCAGGCAGCAGAAGAACCCGCTCTGCCTGTTGCCTCGGAAACCGCATTACAGCAGGAGGGGCTTTTTCCCTGAGACCCCGTTCTGGAACAAGCCAAGAGGGATGAAATTGAGGACGATTGATCAAACGAGCGATACATCATTACAATATCATGAATATTAAAATTAAAAGGGAGCCATTAATATGACGGAACAGGTGAGGAAATTATAATCAGTCTCACACACACACACATTCTAGAGAGGAGGTCGGAGTGTGTGTTGCTTCATCAGCACTGAGACACGGTCCTGCTGACTTCAGTCA